AGAAGTTTAGTTTGGACTGAAAAAGTTGCATTTTTGGCACTAATGCAAATTCTACGGAAGCCATTTACAGACTGTAGAAAGTTCTACGAGCCATAGAAGGGTAGTCATAGGACTTGGGATAAGTTTTGGAAATTTTCAAGTCTCTAATGATGGTTTACGAATGAGCAAGATAAGTTGTAGATTGGTCTACGGATCGTAAAAGGGTCTCATGGATGTGATCCAACTTAGTGAAATTTTGAAGTTGAACCTGGGTTATACAGATTATCCCTACGAGCCATAGAAAAGACTACAACCATATAAAGGTTTCGTGGAAATTGTTCAAAATTTTAGGTGCAGTAACAGCTAGAACGGTCCGTAGAATTGTAGGTCCAAACCAAGACATGTCCAACAATATTTAATTAAGGTTGTTTTGGTCTTTTTCCATCTAATTAATACTTAAACTACGTCATTTTAGCCCTATAACTACTCTTATAACCGTTTGTACTGCTCAAAACCTAACTCATTCCCTCACATTCACTCAAGCTCTCAAATTCTCTCAAATGGTTCTTCAAAAAAAAAATTCAAGAGTTTGAACGTGAAGAACTACGGTTTCAAGAGCTTGAAGGGTTCCTTCTCTATTGATTTTAGGCTTTAATTATCAAGGTATGTGGAAAATCACCAATGGATTCCTTTCATCCATGAGGTCCTAAAGGAATCTCAGTCTCCTAAGTTGATTTCACCCAATTCTATTAAGGTTTCGTGCAATTCTACATAGGTTCTATTTATTATGATTCAATTGTTTATTTTCAATCATATTATGCATGATTTATTTCAATTACATGAATTTCAATTGATTTCATAGGGACTCATGCCTATGTCTATTTTATGAACTTGAATTATGAACAATGCTTATGAACTAAGATTATGAATTTGATTAAGGAGTTATGCATGTTTTATGAAAAGAATGATTCATGACTAAAGGATGCTTTTAAGCTAAAGTATCAATGATTTGTGAAAGATTTTCTCACAATTGAAAGGAATCATGATTTAGATGCTTAGAAAGGTAAGTGTCTATTATGAAAGTTTTATGAACTCATGATTTGAAAGGAGCTACTCTATGACATGAAACTATGATTGGATTAGTGGTCTTAATCATTGTCTTTTCAAGTATTTTGATATGATTATGATTATGTCTTTTCCATTGGGATTTACTTAGCATTGAGAGGACATTGGAATGGAGGCCCTATTATCAATAGATCTTTGGTCTTTAGTAGTAATTCCCTTGTCCCAAACTACATACCCTCGTAGGATTGTCTTAAATGACATAAGCTAATGGATCCACTTTAACAATGAATGAATGTGACAAAGTTTTACCTTGACAAGTAGATTCCCCTTTTTTGGGTCATACCGAATTCCATATTATAGCTCACATGGTCTTATTGTCGGTTAACTGTAAATATCTTACAAATGAACTAAGTTTTCTTCAAAGGTTTTATGAAAACTTCTCAAATGGTTTTAAGTATGCATTGACCGTGTACATGATTTATGATTTCTCTTAAAGGGCTCTTACTACGTGTTACTTAGTCTTGCATATTATGTGTAAGCTCGTTGTGCTTTACATTTTATGCATTTCCTCATACTTAGAGCCCGTTTGGATTGGCTTAAAAAAGTAGCTTTTAAGTGAAAAATAAAAAGTCAAACTGAAATGACTTTTTAAGTCAAAAAATGAAAAGTAGGGAAGACCTACTTTTGGTTTTTGACTTATTTTAAGTTATTTTTTACTTATTATAAGTCATTTTTTACCTTGTCAAACACTTTGTAACTCATTTTAAGTCATTTTTGACTTATTTTAAGTTATTTTTTATATTTGTCAAACACTTCCAGAAGTCAAAAACTGACTTAAAAGTAGGTTTGACCAACTTTTAAGCCAATCCAAACACCATCTTAGTATATTCATCATACTAATGCATATTTATGCCTATATTATCTCATAACACAGGGTCTGACGTTCCTTTGCCCGCTCATGGTTAGCTTGAATTGCTTTGCTAGTACATTGGATTGATGAGTCCTCATGCTCCGAGGACAAGACCATTGATGTTTTAGTTCTTTTATTGTCTTTTCGTTTTAGACTTGTACGTAGTGTATGAGTTAAGTCTCAACCAATATTACGATGTTAGAAAGGCTTGTGTCATACTTAGTAGTATTTCGGGTATCTCTTATGTACTTTGTTGGTATCGTTTATGTCATACTATGATTTGAGACTTATATTGACTATATCTTTTAAATTGTATTTTATTACGTTATACTTATGACAAGTGGCTTGTTTAGGATTTCTTGGGATCCTATTCACCATGTCACGTCTAGGATGTACTTTGGGTTGTGAAATGTATATGATCATATAAGGCTACTTATTAGACTGGTCCTCATATATATTTTTTGAATGAAGGTTTAACTGATACTTATGCATGAACTCTGACTGTTTTCTCTATAGTTCCTTTTTTATGTTTATGATTTTAGAAACTTTATTTCAATGTTCCTATATATATGCCTTATAATATGATTATGTTAGTGTTCCTTATATACTCAGTACATTTCACGTACAGACACATACCTTTCCTTGAGCTGCATCCTTTTATGATGTAGATTTTGGCCTCCGTACTTAGATTCGTGGCTAGTAATGTTGCAACATTTTTAGTTAGTATTTGATGAACCCTCCTCATTTGGGGACTTCATGGATTCAGAATTCTAGACTTCTGTTATGGTATCTTTGGTTTAGAGGTAGTTGGGGGTCATGTCCCGGCAAAGTTATATTTTCATTCTAAGTAGTAGAGGCTTTATTCAGACATTAGTGTCGTCTCATGGATCTATCGACTCGCACTATCCAGTCTTATGTTAAGAATATGTTTCGACTTCTGCCTTAGTTTCAAACGATATGCCTGATATGTTAAGTCAAGGGTTAGTTTGAGATCACTCGTGGTTTCAGATACCATGTCTCGGTTAGGGTGTAGACTCGAATTGTGACATTTACTGAGTATTAATTTGAAGAGGTCTTACTGTAGAAATAACTATTATGAAAAGAATTATATAAGTTCAACACAAGTAAAAGAACTAGGACAATAATGTGAATTGAAGTCTAAAAGGTAAAGGTAGTAACCAGTAAGGTAAGGATATTAATATTTAATATTTATGTAGGGACAAAGTAGTAAATTACTACAGTCTTAATGGATATCAATTTGACCAATAACCCAAATATTAAAAAATCAAAACCGAACTGATAACCCGATAATTTTTTTTATTAAACCATTAAAGACCCATTAATTCAATAACTCAATAACAATAAACCAATAGTATTTTTTTCAATTCGATTTTTGCAAATCCCCTAAGTCAAACATAAGAAATCTATATGAGATGATTATGTAGAATGTCGATCATCAAATTTTACTCTATTTACTATTTATTTAGCTTAATTTTATATAAATTATACGAAATAGCCCAAAAATAGGTAAATTAGATATTTTTGATAATTAAATTCATCAATTATTACTAGGTTTTTTCTCAAAAGAAGATACTCCATCTATTTCATATTAACTTAATTTTTTAGTCTTTTTTTATTGTTCAAAGTTCAAGGTGGGCGTTTGAATATTTTTTTTCATAGTTACTCTTTTCTTTATGGGAAAAGGGTTAAAAATGCCCTTAACGTATTACAAATGGTTTAAAAATGCCCTCCTTCCACCTATTGGATCAAAATTGCCCTTAACATTTTTTTTAGGTTTAAAAATGCCCTCTTTTGACAGAATTATGACATGACATTATTGGGTCAAATAATTAAACAATTGGCATTAATATATTGATCCACATGAATTTTTAACCCACCCACATAAGTCATAACCGACCTGTTCATAGTGAACCAAGCTAGCAAACCCCAAAACAGTCTATCCCATCAATTCCTATTTTACACCTCCATTTTCAGATTTGTTCCCAATATCTCTGTATGCTAAAAAAAAGAAGGTTTCTTTGGGTTTTGATCTTAGAATGTGATGATGGTAAGAAGGGAATATATGACTTAATAAGATGTGTTCTTAAGCTTTGAAAATAACTTTGATAAGAGGAAGACTGAAACTTCAATTTTTATACTTGGCATTTTAAAGTTAATTTACTAGAAGTATATTGGTTGTAATTTATAATGAATATATAAATGGGTCTCATCAAAGGTCAAACAAGTTCATGAACGATTGAAGATGAACTTTCACAGTAGTATCAATATGAGCTGATCTGGTATATGAATTCATCCTCTATTTATACCATTGATTTTTTTCATAAGATTGATTCATTGGTTCGACGTATTTGGCCTTATTACCATTGAATTTTACTTTAATGATTTTGTGAGATATGTTTTAGAGTCCAATAAAAGGATCTATCCGAAGGATTGTAGATTTATACTGAAAATTTCAGCATGAGCAATAGATTTGAAAATAGGCGTAAAATGAAAATGAATTGATGGATTAGATTGTTTTGGGGTTTGCCAGCTTGGTTCATTATGGACGGGTCGGTTATGACTTATGTGGGTGGGTTAAAAATTCTTGTGGACCAATAAATTAATGCCACTTATTTAATTATTTGACCTACTAATGCCATGCCATAATTCTGTCAAAAGAGGGCATTTTCAAACCTAAAAAAAAGTCAAGGGTAAATCACGCTTTAGTTGTTACCTTACCTTCTTGATCAAACGCCATTGACATTGTCTTCTATTAAAGATGGTATTACATAGTAAGCTGAGGGTCATTATGTAAATAATAGAAGTTAGATGATTAGATAGAAAATAGTTAGTTAAAGTAGTTACGAAAGATTCTTTCCTTTCCTATTATATATGTACTGATCTTGTTCAGTTATGGGTTAATGAAGTTTACTTTGAAATTTAATACTTCTGAATTCCTTTCTCTCTGTAACTGAGAATATTCCAGAAGCTATCTTCTCCATAATAGCTAACATGGTATTAGAGCATTGATCGATCTTCACAGTAAATGGTTGATCAAACCACTAATTCAACTACACAAGTACCAGGCGAAGCTATGGCGACTGTCGATAATGAGTTGCCAGAAAAGTTAAGCCACAATCATCCTCTTTTTCTACACACCATTGACAATTCTGGTGTACTGTTCAGTTCAATTCAATTGACTGGAGCCGATAATTTTTTTATATGGAGTCGAGCATTGAAGATTGCAATTCTAGGTCGTAATAAGCTGGGGTTCATCGATGGTTCATGCAAAAAGGAGGCATATGGTCCAAATCTGGTGAATTTATGGGAACGCTGCAACACAATTGTATTGTCATGGATCATGAACTGTGTTTCAAAAGAATTACTTGGAGTTATTGTCTACTCCACAAATGATGCATCTGTATGGAAGGATCTGGCTGAACGATATGATAAAGTCGATGGATCTCACATCTTTTAACTGCACAAGGAGATTGCTACTGTCAGTCAAGGTACTAGTACAATCTCAGCATATTTCTCTAGATTGTGTGAAATGTGGGTAAAATATGATAGCCTAACTCTTGTGCCAAGTTGTGAGTGTGTAAATTCAAAAGAGTTTGTGAAATTTGTGCATAATCAAAAGCTACTTCAGTTCCTCATGGGTTTGAATGACTCATATGAACAAGCTAGGGGACAGATCCTAATGATGGTACCTCTACCTTCCTTGAACAAGACCTATTCACTTTTAATTGAGAGAGAAAGTCAGAGAACCATTTCTCAAACCTCCAGTAGTGCTAATTGTTCTGAGTTGAGTGCACACTACTAGGAACAATACTTTTGTTATGGTACCTAGACCAAGGCCTTACGCTAGTTCTAGCTATGATCCCAATGCATTATGTGACTACTGCAAAAGAACAGGCCACACCCAAGCAATTTGCTATCAACTTTATAGTTATCCCCCAGGATTTGAAAGAAGGAAGAAAAGTCCTAATAATACTTATCAGGGGAGAGGAAGTCCTAATAATAAGTATCAGGGGAGAAAAAGGCCTAATAATGATAGGAGGCAAAATTATGTTGCTCACAATGCAGTTAGTGATGGTGATATAGATGTTAACAGAGGTGTGAATCCAAGGAATCAGGGATATAGAAGAGGTTCTAAAAACACTAAACAGGTTGACTATCACAAAGGTATGACTGTGTTACATGAACAGATAATCAAATCCTACAAAATGCTTGGTCAGACTAATATACAGGGGGGCTCTGAAGCAGCAACATCCAGATCACATTTCAGTGCCAACATAGCTCAGGATAATTACTCCTCATCAGGTAATGAAACTGCTCTCACTGTAAGTCCAACCCATACTGGTTGGATCATAGATTCTAGTGCAACCAATCATATGACCCCAAACTCATATATTCTTACTCATAAACATCAACTTCCTAGTGATAGACCTAGAAGTGTTTAATTGCCCAATGGTAAAACAACTCAAATAACACATATAGGTTCCTGTAATGTAACTCCTCAGGACATGCTAAGAAATGTTCTTCTTGTTCCCGACTTTAAATTCAACTTACTATCAGTCTCACAAATTACTAAGGATCTTAAATGTGCAGTATGCTTCTTTCCTAACTTTGTTGCTCTTCAGGACCTCTCCAATAGGCAGGTGAATGTGATTGGTAGAGAGCATGCTGGTCTCTATCTTCTGCCCAATAAATCCTCTCCTATAAATAAAATTGTTCACTGTTCATCACACTTAGCTCATGGTGATGTTTATTCCACAGAATCACAAGCTCTATTATGGCATCAAAGGCTAGGACACATTTTTTCCACTGTTCTGGCTCATCTGCTAGCTTTTTCACCTAGTAAATGTTCTAAAGATCTTCACAATTGCACCATTTGTCCTTTGGCAAAACAACATAGACTACTCTTTCCCAATAGTACTACTGTATCTACTTCTTCTTTTCAATTACTGCATATTGATGTTTGGGGTCCCTTTAACACCCCTACCTATGATGGTAATAGATTCTTTGTTACTATAGTTGGTGATTATACCAGACTATTGTGGTTGTTTCTAATAAAAATGAAGAGTGATGTTTGTGTTGTCTTGAAAAACTTCTTCATTTTTGCCAAAACTCAGTTCAATGCTATAGTTAAAACAGTCCGGACTGACAATGGCTCTGAGTTTGTAAATGCTGAGTGTCACAAACTATTTACCAGCTCAGGCATCATTCATCAGAGAACCTACATTCATACACCCTAGCAAAATAGTATTGTAGAGAGAAAACATAAACATATCCTTGAAGTGGCTAGAGCAATCAGATTCCAAGAGAATATTCCTATTAGGTTTTGGGGTAATTGCATACTCACAACTGCTTATATCATCAATTTGTTGCCAACTCATGTGTTACATGGCAAATCTCCTCATGAAGAATTTCACAATAACAAACCTTCTCTCCAGCATTTGAGAGTTTTAGGTTGTCTGTGCTTTGCAAAGAATATGTACATACATGATAAATTTCAACCAAGAAGTGTTGTTGCCATTCACATGGGGTACAATCCTATTACTAAAGGTTATTTTCTCTACAATCTCAAGGACAAACAGTTCTTCCTTAGCAGAGATGTGGAGTTTAGGGAATCCACATTTCCCTCTTCCACTGCCTGGCACTTGTTTCCTTCTGTCAATATTTCATCAGATCCTACTCTATCACATGATGTACCTCCATCTGCTATGGTTGATTCTGTTGATACTCTTGATGCAGTGTTACCTGATTCTGGCTCAAGGGTCTATGAGGTTAGGAGATCACAGAGGAGTACCAAAGCTCCCTTATGAACGCAAGATTATGTTGCTTCTGCTCATCTCACCCCTATCAAGCCTCTATACTCTATTGACAAATATCTTGGCTATGATCATTTGTCTCGGTCCTATCAGGCTTTTCTATCTTCTTTTGGTCATGAGGTTGAACCTGTCACCTTTGAGGAGGCTTGTAAGGATCCTAGATGGGTTGAGGCCATGCAGCCTGAAATCTCAGCATTGTAAACTCATCAAACTTGGAAAGTGGTACCCTTACCTCCTCACAAAAAGGCTATTGGTTGTAAGTGGATTTTTAAAATCAAGTATCAAGCTCAGGGGAGGTTGAAAGATTCAAAGCCAGGTTGGTTGCCAAGGGATTTAACCAAAGAGAGGGACTGAATTATATAGAAACTTTTTCACCTGTAGTCAAGATGGTTACAGTCAGAAGTGTGTTGGCTTTGGCTGCTATAGAAAATTGGCATATTCATCAGATGGATGTGTCAAATGCTTTCCTTCAAGGTAACTTATTTGATGAAGTATATATGACTCTTCCTCAAGGCTTTCAGCTTCCTAAGGGATTTATTGTGCAGGGGATAAATCAGTGTGTAGGCTCACTAAATCCCTCTATGGCCTGAAACAAGCCTCTAGACAATGGAATGTGAAGCTTACAGATGCACTTATCATACTAGGATTTATTCAGAGTCATGCAGATTATTCACTGTTCATTAAGAAAACAAAAACATCTTTGGTGATACTTCTAGTATATGTTGATGATATGATGATTACATGTAATGACCTTAGTCTTATTCAACAAAGCAAAAGAATTCTACAAGACACTTTCAAGATGAAAGACATAGGAGAACTCAGGTATTTCCTAGGAATTGAATTTAATAGATCACAAGAAGGGATTCATGTCATGCATCAAAGGAAATACTCTCTTGCATCTCTGAAGCTGGACTTGGAGCTGCTAAACCAGCCTCCACTCCTATTGATCCTTATGTAAAGTTAACTACCAAGGAGTATAATGAAATAAATGGGACATGAAATGAAGATAGATTGCTGGAGGATCCAACAGTATACAGAAGACTAGTTGGAAAATTGTTGTATCTAAATGTTATCAGGCTAGACATTGCTTTTACTATACAAACTCTGAGCCAGTTCCTACATCAACCCAAACAATCACACCTCAATGCTGCTCTCAAGGTGGTGAAATATGTAAAAGGAAAGCAGGGCTAGGTGCACTATTATCCAGCAAGAATAAAAAACAGTTAAAGGTCTACTGTGATTCAGATTGGGGGGCTTGTTTACACACCAGAAGGTCTGTCGCTGGATTCATACTTAAGCTGGGAGATTCACTAATATCATGGAAATCCAAGAAACAAGGAACTATATCTAGAAGTTCAGCTGAAGCTGAGTACATGAGCATGACAAGTGTTGTAGCTGAAGTAGTGTGGATAGCAAAACTGTTCAAGGAACTAGGAGCTGATGTTGTAACCCCAGCTACCATCTATAGTGATAGCAAGTCTGCCATACAAATTGCTGCTAACCCAGTACTACATGAAAGAACAAAACACATAGAAATTGGACTATCATTTCATAAGGGAGAAAATTCAGAATGGCCTAATTAAGATTGAGTATCTACATACCAAAGAGCAAGAGGCTGACATACTAACTAAAGGTCTGGGCAAGTTTCAACATGAGTATTTGATGTCCAAGTTTGGAGTCTTGAATCTGTTCATTCCTACCAACTTGAGGGGGAGTATTAAAGATGGTATTACAAAGTAAGCTGAGGGTCATTATGTAAATAATAGAAGTTAGAGGATTAGATAGAAAATAGTTAGTTAAAGTAGTTACAAAAGATTCTTTCCTTTCCTGTATATGTACTGATCTTGTTCAGTTATGGGTTAATGAAGTTTACTTTGAAATTTAATACTTCTGAATTCCTTTCTCTCTGTAACTGAGAATATTCCAGAAGCTATCTTATCCATGATAGCTAACATCTTCACATTCAATTTCGATACGTTTCTGTATAGATAAATTATATTCAATTTTGAGTGTATCATATTGTATAGTCAGTATATATTTCATATATAGATATGCTATATTCAACTTTTAAGTGCATCATAAATGTATAGTCAATATATACTTCATGTATAGTTAAGTTATATTGAGCTTTTTGAGTGTATCATAGTGTATTGTAAGCGACAATTCTTGTATATGTAAGCTATATTAAGTTTTTTGAGTGTATACCGTTGTTGAATGGTGAAACAATTCATAGAAATTGATGAATTAATAGAGAAATTGATGAATCAATAGAGTTATTGACAGAATCACCGGTGAAATCAATGATTTGATTGCGAAATAGAAGTACTATCAACGTTGAAATTAAAGAAAAGTTAACTACGAAAATTGAAGAATAATCACCGATGAAATCAATTCGTGAATTTTGTTGCTTAAGTCATTTATAGTATATCTAATTTTGGGTTTACTTTTTATTTAAATAAATACTTGGCTATATTGATACAAATAAAACTATTTTATTATATATTTATGAAATTTACCCAATCTATATCTGATTTTTCAATATACTCTAATTCATATTAATTACTTGCCCTAAAATCAATTTTTATCACTTCTCTCTCTCTCTCTATCTTAAAACAAAAAATCATTAGTTCTCTTCAATTTGTCCCCTTCTAACCTGCTGGTCATTATTTTAACGAAAGATGCACTATGGTCGTTTTAATAGTGCAAGAATCCAAGCTTACAAAAGTATTTCCTACTTGAGTTTGTCAAAATTTGCAAAGAACCTTGTGTAGGGATGAAAAACAGTGTCGTTTGCATGATAAATTCGTATAAATCTACTAAGATTTCAAGTCATTATGCATAGTATAATTTGATGTTTTTAGCTCACCTCGATAAACTCTCCCTTCCTGCTTATTTTTTTAAAAAATATTTGAAAATATTTGATAGTGCAATAGTATCGATATTCGGGATAAACAAGTGTTAGAAATTTAGAACTTGTTGGAATTTTTACTATTAATGATTGCTAGAATGTTTTGTTTACAAAATGTTTCTGCTTTAGCTCTCATCGTAACATAGATTTATTTTCAAGTCATTGTAGTTAATTTACTACTATTATTTAATTAATTATTGAGTGCTAACGTAAACAAAATAAAACAAAAACAAGTTTTGACTTTTTCATTAAAGTTCAATATCAAAAACCTCTTACACCTCCACATCAATTTCTCAAGAAAATATTTCAACGTAACCTACCCTGCATTTTCCCCGCCCTGCATAATCTTACACCATCCGCGTCGCATGTAGCCTAAAATTTACCCCACATCGAACCCGTACCTACACCGTTACATATTCATGATGCTGGCAGGGGCGGAGCTACAATGTTAAATGGGGGTTCGGACGAACCCACTGACTTTTACATAGACCCTATATACATACTAAAAACCATGTACAAATATATTTAAATTTTACGTGCGAACCCATATCACACTAAGGTGGATGGTGCAGTGATAAGCGCGCGCAACACTAATTAATTGGATGGGGGTTCAAGTCCCACTAGCAACTATAATTTTTTTTATTTAATTCAATTTTTCCTGATTTTTTTATTTTGGATAAAAAAATGTGTTTTGTGCCTATGTTTTACTCTCCTTTAATTCAATTTTTCCTATATAGATTTTTATAAATTCTTTTTCAAACAATAAAACAGAAAATTGATAATTGAAAATAATAAAAAAGCAGTGTCATACTCCAAAACAACATCTAACTATTAATCTCAAAAATAATTGTAAGTAACCAAAATATAGTGTCATACTCTAAAACAACATCTCACTATATTGATTTCTTTTGAAACATTCAATAAAATGTTAAACCCAAAATTTAATTTTTTAAAAAGTTATGGTTCTTATTTTTACTATCCATTTCATTGCTACTGCTTGTTGTCAAGTGCAGACCTCTGCCCGGGTAAGTACTATTTATCTCAGTTCCTCCTCGGCTCTCCCTTTTCTCTCTTTTTTTTTTTTTTTAAATTTGTCTTTACATTGTATAACAATTTATTCAAATATCTTATTTTTAATCTTTGATTTTAAGACTGTTACACGTATTAATAATTGATTATATTAATTAAGTTATTGTTTGCTTCTCGGAACTTCAACTTTCAAGGCAAGGGTGACTCAAGGGTGAAGCAAGTAAAACCTTCCATTTAGGTCCCAAAAATATTAATGGTGAATTTCATAATTTTAATTTTACTTAAAATGATATTGAGATTATAGAAAAAAATCTTCAAAATTTATACTAAAATATAACAATTATCTACCTTTTATCAAATGATATTTTAGAACTTTGAAATAAATAACTCAAATCTTCGTATTAATAAATGAAGTATTTGAAAGTGTACCAAATGATGCATCATTTTTTTTTTTCAAAACATAACAACTTGTCGAGTGAAATTATAATGATATGCTTATATGTTTGTGGTTATATATATATATATATATATATGGTTGTAATTTTGACGATTGTTATATTAGACTAATATGTTGTTTTGTTTTAAAATTTAGAACCCACAAACATCAAATCTTGGGCTCCGCCTCTGGATACTGGTTAGAAGGTAAACGTTGAAGTGAGACAGAGAAAAATCAATTGAAATATATTCTAGTTGAATATATTTTCTCACACACGACTTAATCATTCATTCAGATTCATTAGTGAAATTGAAAACCTTTTGAAATTGAAATAGACTCAGGTTGAATACTCCATTACTATAATTCACATATCAAACGATGTATTCTTTAACAAAAACAATTTGATTCACTAAATTTTCCAGTTGATCATATTAATCAGTCAACTAGGATTATGAAATCTTGGAAAAAGATATCAGAAAGAAAGAAAACGATAAATTTTGTCTTAAGAGAGATATCAGGAAGTTGTCATGTGCACTTAGTTTGTTAAGTTAAAATTTTTAAGATTAAGTTTGAGACTCAAAGTGCACCCTTTTTATAAAGAATGTGGACTGTTAGTGCTCCATTTAAAAGAATTAGGACTATTTTGAGCCTTAGTCCAAAAATAGTGGACTATTTTAGTCCTTTTCTCAAGTTGAGGAGTATAATTGCAAAATAATTTGGTAATTTTGCGTACTCCACGTACGAATCATGCAGAGCGCATGTTAGCTACCAGCGGATAGAACCCTAATGTACAATTTCTCATTTGCCTCTTCTATTTCATCACCATTCATCATCTCTCTGCATCAAATTCAGGTAAAACTTTTTTCTTACTCTTTTGCTGATTTTCTAGTTTATGCAGTTTGATTCGTTTTGTGTTTTTCTTGTCAGTGTTCATAGAAAAGTAAGTGAACTTAGAAAACTATTCGTTGTGGACCTTTACTGAGAAATCAACATTGGAATTGTAATGTTTTAGTTTATGCTAGGTACTAATTCCGTTTGCAGGAACCCAGTACTTGTTATGTTGAACATGTATAGCTAAAATTTTGAATCCGCCACCCTGGGGTTGAGTCGAGTTGCCAAGGGGGAAAGTTGCAAAAAAAAAAAAAACAACTGTTGGGTCCTGGGGAGGGAGGAGGGGGAGGTTGAGGTTATACCCAATTCAAAAAAAAAGAAAAGGAAAAAAGGTGGATTAACAATCTGAATAGGTAAATTTAACTATTTTAGTGTTGTTACTGTATTTGCAATGATCATGTCAGTTGTTATTAATTTATAATTTAAGGATTTTAATGTTGCGCATTTGTTCTGTTGTTCATTCCTTAAATTTGATAAGGAAAAGGAAATGCAAAAGTTTAAGCTCATTCTTTGGAGTCCTTATACTTGTTGATAGAGTTGGTGTTTTTAAAAAAAATGTGGTTCTGCATTTGGAAATGAACGGCTATTCTAGCTGAAGTAGTATGTACCTTTTGCATATCATTTAAAATCTTTTGCCCTCTTTAGCATACAAATATGACTTGAAGATTATGTTTTCTTTTTTCAATTTAACAATCTCTGCTTTGCTTTCGGCTTAGCAGTGTCTTTTCTTGTATCATGGGAGAGCAGAATCAGCCTAATTCCCTAGGAACACAATGGACATTTCTTGGAAGTACAAATGATTCTTATTATCTAGCGGGCCATGAACTTAACAAGCAGTACATGGCTGGAGTTGGAATTGATGGGATCCATTGTGTTCCTGTGCCTTCACCTCAGTGGATCTATGACCAGCAAACGCCACATAATTATGTAGAATATCTTGCAGAGAATGTGGTCTCTGAGGTTCAAGTAGATGCTTCGGTAGAAGCTTCTGGTTTCAGACTACTCGGGGGATCTGCTGACATGATTTCTCAGGAGGTATGACCTTTTATCTACAAGCTTAGCCAATATAACCGACAGTCAAGTGGGTTACCAGATATGAGATCAAGGCAAAAATTCCTTGCTTCATTGTGGTAACTGTATAAATTCATCCATAGTAAAGAGTTGGGATTCTAACTCCTGTGTTTAGCAGATAAGATATCCGAGGCCTTATCATGAAGATGTACCACCCAACCATTTAAATGGCTCAGAACATCAACGAGGTGCCTTGGTAATGTGGAGATTATTTTCAATGTCTGAACTTCAAAGTTAGAAAAAGAAAAAAGGAGTTGTGACTATTTCATGACCAAAAACCTTGCATATATTGACGGCAGACATGGGAGCCAAGAGGAAATGCCAGGCATGCTTCTGGGCCTTGCTCTGAAGCATCAGCTGCTGGGTCATCGTATCCTTCCAAAAGCTCTAGAAAAGCAAGAGCTGCATTATCTGACCGGGTAAGACTAAACCCTTCATATATGCATTCTAGTAGTATCCAGTGGCAACTCCTTCGATGACCATCTGTTTATGCACGAGCAGTATTGCACGGTGGGTTGTGGGGGTTGGGGTTGGGGAAGTGGCGCTCACAGGGACCATGCCCCCCCTTGCTATATGCAAACATAAGGGGATTGATTATCTTCTTGAAGCTTGTATGTATGGACTGCCCTATCCACCATAATTTGATGTTTAGTACAATTATTACTTGTTCTTTTCTCTTTAATTAAGGGTAAACGACCATTTAAATCATTGTTATTTGTACATAATCATGATTATGAGGATTTCGAGAATTTTTTAACAAGATGTGTTCTCTTTTGTAGTAGTTGGTGCAAATTTTATTAGGATTTTTCTAATAGTAAAACCTAGATATTTGTTATCATGTGTTGTAAATGTAATTAGCAGTCACTACTTTGTATGGCGGGGTAAGTCAATGTTGAGCTTTTGCCCTTCTATTTATTTAGTATTTATTTGTCAAAATATTAGTCTTGTATCCCATTATGTACTTCAGAGTCTTTACTTGGAAGTTTAGATACTCTCTCTTTGCTTATGATCTTCCCTTATTTTCTTAATGTTTTGGGTGAATTAATTCAACCTCCCCTGATAAACAGCATAGCCAACATTGTCGATTTCACAGCTAACATCATGCTATGCTACATGTGTGTATCAGGATAGAGTAATTATGTTTAACACAATATGCATATGTATGAATGTATTCATGTTCATATGGAGTTAACTGTTGTCAGTATGTAAATCTAAAATTATTCCGAAAGGTAACTTGGGTGGGTTGATGGATGACCATGCTAGTGAGTGGATAGGGGATTAATATAGGGTTTGTGCGTGTTGGGTACAATTGGTGATTTAGGAAAGGAGGGTAGAATAATGGGTGATGAAATTGGGATAAGGAGGTATGGCGGGTCTAGGAAAGAGAAGGAACTGCAGGATGGGATTTGTAAAAAGGGGAAGGGCTAAAATTGGGTTGGGGATAACAAGGGAGGTGAGCACAGTGATGAGGGTGATGGGTTGGGATAGGGGAGAGGAGGGTGTGGGAGGGAGAAGAGTTGGCCCAGCTAGGGAGGGAAGGGAGGGGTCATGAGGGGATAACTTGGTATTTGGGAGAGTGTGAAGCAAATCTTTGCCTACATTATGTTGACTGTGAAATTGTAACGAAGATGCTTGTGCTTATACCTCAGCTACTTAACGGTCTTACTAGTGGATGTTAATGACAAGGAAGGTCTTCGCAATGAAACATCAATGTCAAGAAGAGGTCTGTTGGTATTTCTCAAACCAGAAGGGAAGTCCACTTAATTAACAGTAATAGATGAGAGGTATTAAATCCCCTGCATTATAAGTATTCAAATGTGTTTTCTATTTAGTATGTTCTATATAATTCTTAGCATGCAGAATATATGATCAGAACGTAATACGACTACCCCCTAACTAGTAAGATTGATAATTCTTCAGACTCTTGCCTGCAAGATAGTTTGTTGCTCTATGTGTTCATGAAATTGTCATATTCGGAAGCTTCAACTTCAGTCATCACATGGTAATATTATTTGGCTGATGCCTAACTATAGCTGGTTTTGGATTCAGCATCGCAGGATGAAAATTGCTGAAAGAATAGATGCATTGGGAGAACTATTTCCATGCTCTAAACAGGTAACACATCCAATTGGCATTTGGCTTTGTGTATATTGCATAGCTATTGAAAACACAGGATATGCAGATGTTGTAAAAGTTATGTATGTGAAGGTTGAATTCAAAAAGTAGGAGGGAAGAGGGGAGTGACTCCCAGTAATAAAATTAAAAGGGGTAGGAGTACACAGAATCAGTTACTGGTATTATCCAATAGCCATTCATTATACATTTTTCTGCTTCCTAAAGAATGGGTGAAACAGTAGTTTTATTGTGGTTTGCAGGGTGGAAAAGCATCTCAAATGGATGAAATTATTGATCATATCAAATATCTGCAGTTCCAGATGAAGGTATATTAATGTTCTTGTATAATGCCCTTGGCATAAAACAAGCTTACCTGCATATATTGTGGATACAAAACTTTTCTGTTCTTTAAATGGTCAATAATCTAAATGACTGAACGCTTTTAATTAGGCTCTTTAGCCTTTTTAACGACAACAACAACATACCCAGTGTAGTCACAAGAGTGGGGATTGGGGAGGGTAGAGTGTACGCAAACCTTACCTCTACCTTAGAGGTGAGATAGAGAGGCTGTTTCCGATAGACCCTCGGCTCAAGACAAAAACAGTTTAGAAAAAGACTATTTATCCTTATTAATGCAACAATAATTTTGTCTTGTGTTTGATTTTGATATTGCCTATCTGCCTGACAAGGACTTGAGTGAGCCTTGGGCAAAATTGCAAATTAAGAGCCAACTAGCCATACCATGTAATTCTTATGCCACTCTTCTATATATTACTTGAAAAGTTTTTCTATAAGAATTTGAAGCCTTAGTATCTCTCAATTTCTTTTTTAAAGAAAATTAATGAAGACCATTATTGCTGAACTTTATCATGTGATGGGTGATGTCTTCAAGATAACCTCTGTTTGTTTGAAATGACAAACTTAACTTACGCAAGGAGGCAACTGTAGTTAACCTGATAAGTTGGATGCATTGCCAATCTAGCTCATTTATTCATTCATTTGAAAGAGGGACTTCGGAAAATAAATTGGATTTCCTTGTCTGTAGTAAACATCAACCTAGGTGGTGTAGAGCTAAGTGGGCAATTTGTATTACTAAAAATAAACCTGTTCCTGTCCAGTAAATATGGAACCGAAGAGCTAGTGTTGGCCCATAACATTCCTTCGAGAACTGTTGTGCATATTCCAATTATCTTTCAGAAAAATGTGGATAACCGAAGACATAGTGCTAGGCCATAACTTTCCTTTCAAAACTGTTGTGCATATTTTAATTATTTTTCAGAAAAAATGTGGATAACCTCATCTTATGCGAGATGATCCCTAAGCATTCTACAGAAAAACTCCACCATCATCATCCTTCTCATTTAGCTTTGAACATATTAGGCTCCTAAAGTGCTTTGTTTCTTAAGCAAACACAACATAAAGATTTTCACTGGATGCTATAGTTGTCGCTCATAAATGTATAAGCCTATATAGTGTGTGTTTCTTGTATAATATTACAATCTCTAAATTAGTTTTAGTATATTTATAAGTTTAGACAGTTTTGTTATTTTCAGTTTATAGTTGCTTACTGTTTCAGTATAATTCTTGAACCCAGTAGTTCAATTATTTGGATAAATAGATTAACTGGTGACCTATTTCAGTGCCTCTAGGTAATCAATAATGTTGCTATTAAACCTTGAGACACCACTGATGAATAACTGCCTTTTTATTTCTATTGTTCTTTACCTTGTATCATCCTTCAGGTCATCAAGAACTTTATTCAATGTGATTTCGTATTTTCTTATTATGGTAGTCTTTGCATAAAATTTTACAATTTTTTTGTCTTAACAGCATCCTGTAATTAACTAATCCTGCTGAAGACTTATCTGAACTTAATCCTGGTTATGTAGGATCTCAGTAGGAGCAGACTGGGTGGTGAACCTACTTCTATCCCGTTTGTATTTCTTGAGGTACCACCATTCATGATGCAGTATAACAATTTCATTACTAGTCAAACTTGTGGACCTTTTTTTGTTTGTACAAAAGCTAATTATCGGAGAATGTAATGGGTTCTGACCGATTTGCAGGGGTGTGGCCATTACATTCTTGATGAACAACAGATTGAACCTCTGGAAGACACAATGGGCAAGTTGCTGGAAGTGAATCCTTCAATGGCAACCCAATTGCTGGAGAGTAAGGGCCTATTTGTGATGCCTATGGCTCTGGCAGAAGGACTGCATCATCATGAGTAGAAACTGAAAAAAAACAGGTCTACATATAACTTCCCATGCAAACTTAGGGCAAAGAATTTTGAAAGTGTTAATTAGGCAAGAAAAATATAGTATAATTTTGTGTAAGCAAAGTTAAGAAGATAAATCTTTGTATTATTCTGCTATGTGTCTCAACTCTAGCTTCAACTTACACTGTCAAATAGGTGCTCATTATCTGCTTTATCTATTTTTTGTTATCAAATTTAAAGTATATTTACATTTTCTTACAAAGGCACAATTGAATTACATAAACCTCTCATCCAAAGTGAACAAGTTTAACCCTTTGAATTACAAATGTTTTCTTTCGAGCTTTGGACAAGTGTACATATTACTTCTAGGGCAAAATTAAGCATAGTACCGCTAGACAAAAGAGGACAATCTTTGTTAATGTCTCTATTTGACAAGCGTACATATTATTTATAGGGTAGAATTTAGCATAGTATGGTCGAATTTCATAGGATTATCTTTAGTGATGTCTCCATAGTTAGCATGGATGACAAGAAAAGCTGGGTCATCTTCATTAATATTTACGCCAACTTTGTGTTTTCTTCTGTATTTGTGTCTACCTTAAAAACAATTCGCTGCTTGTTGGATGAAATTGACATCAATGCTGCTATTAGCTTGTTGTAGATTACACTCCCTTTGTCCCAATTTATGTGACTTACTTTCCTTTTTAGTCAGTTCCAAAAAGAATGACACATTTCTATATTAAGTAACAATTTGACTATAAAATATCTACTTTACCCTTACTGAAAGGATTTACAGCCACACAAATTTGTATCATTCATTTTGGACCACAAGTTTTAAAAGTCTTCCTTTCTTTCTTAAACTCCGTGTCGAGTCAAACTACCTCACATAAAATGGGACGGAGGGAGTAATATTTTTCTTTGTTCTCATGTCACATTCTGATTGAGAATTTTTTTTTTGGTACCTAGGGACTAAGAATTGTCTCTTGAACGTCAGTATTAGGAGGAGGACGAATTGATGATGTCACACGATCTTGAACAACAATAGAGAGGTGTAATTGAGCAAAATAATTACAAGTTAAAATAGAAAAAAACGGAGTTACCAATTTTCCATTAGTAAATAAATAAAATGAATGAACTTTAGCAAATGAACTTAACATTATATTCATCATTTCAAGCACAAATTAGATTGGCAATATCCTAAAATAACGCTACCAAAACAATTACTTTTTAAGAAAAGAAGGAGCTATATATGAGCTTCTTCCAGAAAATTATATGTATTGTCCAATAAAATTTAAGGCCACAATGAAGGCTAGTATTATGAAGCCAAATCTATAGGAATGTCTCGGAAAAGAAGAAATTGTATAGGTAGCTTCTTCCATAAATTGTATGGGGATAATTTTCGAAACATTCCTATAGATTTGGCTTCATAATACTAGCCTCCGTTATGGTTTACAATATTATTGGACAATACATGTAATTTTTTTGGAAGAAACTACCTATATAGTTCCTTTTTTCTTGAAAAGTAATTATCTTAGTAGTGTTACTATAGGATATAGTCGATCTAATATATATGTGCTTGAAATAGAGAATAAAATATTAAGTTCATTTATTTTGTTGATTTACTAATGGAAAATTGATGACTCCATTTATTTTTCTCTTTTAACTTGTAATAATTTGGTCATTTACACCTCTGTAGTTAGTGTTCAAGATTATCTGGCATCATCGTCGTCGTCCTCCTGTTACTGACGTTCAAGTGACAATTGTTAGTCCCTTTGTACCAAAAAAACCGCGCACTGGTTTTGGATCAGAATGTAACATGAAAACAAAGAAAAATGTTGATCTAAGTAATAATCATCATTGTTGCTAATTCCATTCAACAAACAACGATTGTTTTTGAAGAAATAGATACAAATGAAGAAGAAAACACAATATTGACGAAAATATTAATGAAAGTTTGAAGTCAACTTTTCTTATTTGAATGAAAACATTTGTAATTCAGAGGGTTAAACTTGTTCACTATTGAGGGTCAAGGAAAGAGATCCTTATTTAGGCCTTCTTAACTGTCACTTTTCTCAACTGAGATACCCTACTCTCAGTCAATCTTTGCTACTCTCCTGGAGGCTGCACCTCATATCCAGGCACCCATGGAATGAATTGACTCCCGATTTCGATTTTATTTGTGCTAGACTTTAGAGCTTAGCGGATATTGAGATTAGTTTATACAACATAAGACAAATACAGTATATGGAATTTCTCTATAATGAATGATATATATAGGCATGCTTATTAGGATCACTGTTGAAACATGCAAAGCAGAACAACGACCTACAAACTTGTTGAACCACTAGGGAAGTGGCATGGTTGGGGTGCTTCAGCCCACCTCCGTACATCTCCCCTCCTATCCCCAGCGCGTTCTCACGTGCGTGATCATGGGTGATTAACGAACCCTGGAGCGCAGATAGCGCTGGGGACTACTAAATAAGATGCTCCAGTTTCCCATCTTGTCACATAGTGAAGATAATTAAAACAGCTTAATTGGAGTCATTTTCTTTTATTACCATTCCTTTTAAGATCCTCCAGTTTTAGAAATTCTTGTGCTTTCTACTATGGGTGTGTTTGGTATGAAGGAAAATGTTTTCCTCGAAAAACAAAGTTCATTTTTGACTTATTTTCTCATGTTTGGTTGGTGAGTAGAAAATATTTCCGGAAAAGATTTTTAGTGTTTGATTTATGAATGAATTTTTTTTTTGAAAAATATCTTTTATTTTTACTAGAGTAGAAAATAATTTTTGGAATTGAAAATATTTTTTAAAAACAAACTTAATTTTTTTTGGGGGAGTGGGGGGTGGTAGGGCGTGGGTGAGGGGGGGTCGAGGGTAGGGGTGAAAAATTGAAATTTTTAAGTTGAAAATATTTTTTAAAGACAAACTTAAATTTTTTTTTGGGGGGTGGGGGCTGGGGGCCGGTAGGGGGTGGGGGGGGGGATTGAGGGTTGGGGTGAAAAAATAAAACTTTGAAGTTGAAAATATTTTTTAAAAACAAACTTAAATTTTTTTTTGGGGATGGGGGGGAGGCAGGGGGGCTGGTAGGGGGGTGGGTGGGTGGGGGGTTGAGGGTAGGGGTGAAAAAAATGATATTTTGAAATTGAAAATATTTTTTAAAAACAAACTTAAAATTATTTTTTGGGGGTGGTGGTGTGGGTGGGTGGGTGGGGGGTCGAGGGTAGGGGTGAAAAAAATGAAATTTTGAAATTGAGAATATTTTTTAAAAACAAACTTAAATTATTATTTTTTTGGGGGGGTCGGGGCTGGTAGGGGTGGGGGGCTGGGTAGGGGGGGGTCAAGGGTAAAGTGAAAAAAATGAAATTTTAAAGTTAAAAACATTTTTTAAAAACAAACTTAAAATTATTTTTTAGGGGATGTGGGGAAGGTGGGCGGCTGGTAGGAGGTGGGTGGGGAGGGTGGGCGACTGGTAGGGGGGGGGTCGAGGGTAGGGTGAAATAATGAATTTTTGAAGTTGAAATTATTTTTTAAAAACAAACTTCAATTTTTTTTGGGGGGGTAGGGGTGGCGAATAGGGGGTGGGTGGGTTAGGGGGTTGACTGTAGGGGTGAAAAAATGAATTTTTGAAGTTGAAAATGTTTTTTAAAAACAAACTCAATTTTTTTTTTGGGGGAGGGGGGAGGGGGGCAGGCTGGGGAGGGGGTGGGTGATTGAGGATCGGGATGAAAAAATAAAAATTTGAAGTTGAAAATAATTTTTAAAAATAAACTTAATTTTTTTTCTTTTTGAAGGGGGTTGGTGGGCTGATAGGGGCGTTGATAGGGGGCTGATGGGGGGAGGGTAGTGGGTGGGGGTAAAAAAATGAAATTAGAAATATCTTTTTAAAACAATTTTTAATATTTTTTTGGGAGGGGGTGGGGGTAGGGGTGAGGTGGGGTAAAAGAATTGAATTGAAAAATAAACTTTAAAATTATTATTATTTTGTTTTTTGGGGGGGAGGGGTGTGGTTGGGGGGCTGGTTTGAGTGTAGGGACAAAATAAATTAAATTTTTCAACAAAAAATAATTGTAATTTGAAGTTGGAAGAGAGTTTTGAAAAATGTTTTCTTTAAGTTTTGAAGGGAAGTCATTTTCCTTAAATTTGAGGAAAATGAGTTGATTTGGAAAACATTTAACCCAACCAAACATGAGAAAATTGGAAAAGGAAAATGTTTTCCTTCATACCAAACACACCCTATATGTACTTATCCTTATTATGGTCGTCTTTGCATCATGTTTTACAATGTTTTTTTGCCTTAACAACACCCTATAAATAACTAGTCACAAATCGTGATGAAGACTTATGGGAACTTAATCCTGGTTGTGCAGGATCTCAATAAGAGTAGATTGGGTAGTGAATCTACTTCTATCTTATTTGTATTTCATGAGGTACCACCATTCGTAATCCAATATAACAATTACATTACTAATAGAACTTTTCGACTCGTTTTTATACAAAAACTAATTATTGGAGAATGTAATAGGTTCTGATTGATTTGCAGGGGTGTGGCCATAACTGTAACAACCTGAATCGTCTCTATTCAAAAGGCACCTTATGCGAAATCCTTAAAACTTTTGAAAATACATTGCCAATTCATAAAATTGAGGTACGCGATGATTTTGTTAAAATTTAATTGATTAGGGCTGACATCAGCTCGCAATAGTAAGAAGCCTCCTGCTATGGTACCACTGCTATAATGCCTACATGGCCATTATAGCGGGGCTGATGGAATTAGACCCTAGATAAAACAATGTCGTAATTTTTCATTCACTTTTCATTGAAAAACAAACGAGGGTTACTCCAAAAATTCTCCTAAGCCACTCTAAGCTTAGAGACAATGAAAGGGAGGGACTTCAGCTCAAAGAAGGTTAAACCCATGGATTCCCGATCTACTTCTGTTAGGATTCATCCCCATGGAGCTAGAAGTTTGTATTGAGAGTTCTTCAACAATTGCTTGGTATCCAGGTTGGCTAGGTTTTCTTAACTGAGTAGTTAGACGTGTCTTTACTTATATAATATCTTGTAGATTGTCGGGAGATTAAGTCTGGATGGTTGAATGTGTGTTAGCTATGGTTGAGGCTGATGGTGGAATTGATTAGATATTGTTGGCATTTTGTTGTTTGCTGAGTGTTATCTCGGGGAAGGTAATAATGGTAATCAAATTATGATTAGAAAATATTCGGGAAGAAATC